CATTTTATAAATATAATAGAAAAAATTTATATATAAATAATCTTTTTCTCAATTTTAATTATTTTGTTTTACTAATAATGGTTTACAGCTCCAACTACTAATGAAGTGTGAAACGCTGAAACCTGCACATGGAATTGGGATTAGATGAGCTGTTTGTGTCAATCATTCTCTCTTCATCCATTAAACCGTAAACATTTTCAGGTAGGAGTACTGGCGACTTTCTTTATTGCTCTTTTTTAATCACTCTCTTTATTACTCACTCCTAACATATAATAATTTTTAAGAGATGTTTTAAAATTTTTAAATTTTGCATTAACAATCTAAGTAATTAAGTGATTACTTTTTCTTGAAAGTAAAATATCCTTAATTCGAGTCGTATGAATGATTTTCTTTTATTATGCAATCAAGATAAAATAAAATAAATTTAAATTTTAAATTTTAAATTTTAAAGTAAATGAAAAGAAATTAAAAAAAAATTATCTCTTATCATATAAGGTATCATATGATGTATTAAAAAAATTAACACTTAATGTGATTTATTTTAATTTTAAATTTTAAATATATTGTTTACAAATGATGAAGTATAAATTATTTTTTAAAACTTAGTTATAAGTAATTTTAAAAATAATATTCAATTTTTCTCTTAACAAAAATTTGAGAAATCAATAAACTAGAATTTCTTTACCATTCACTTTCTAGCCACTGTTTCCAAACAAAAGGAAAAGAAAGAAAGTGAAATTGTGAAATTGTGAAAATGAACAGAAGACCAATCTTACTTTCAAGATTAATAAAATTCTTCCATCATTATAAATCTTGTTAGGTGCGCTGACAATGATAATGGGGCCGAGCGTCCCTGCTTTTCGCATCCATTAATGCAAGAAATTTCTTAAGGATATAATTAAGAGAGAGGAATTGAAATCTTGCACTGTTTAAGTGGAAAATACGGTAAAAGAAAAGAATGCTTTCGTGGGTTTTTTTTTTCTTGGGGAACATTTACAATTTGTGGGGAAGAGGGGATATGGTCGAAGCTTAGTATCTTAGTGGTGCACCTTCACAACCAAATGGGCTGACAGAAGTCCAGGTGCTCACAGTTTTTTAACTTTTGAGGATGAAATTTCTTATGGATTTATATATTCCTCTGATAGATCAGTAGAACTACATCCAAAAACTAATTCAGTAACTACTCCTTGAGTTGGGAGAGTTGAAAACTAAAGTAAATCTGGTTCTCAACTTCATAGGTTGCAAAAATATACTTAAATTTAAATATTTTTCATTTAGTAATTTTTAATTATATAATAGAAGATAGTCTTCTTTTATCTATTAATTTACATCATCAATATATCATGCAATTTAATTCCCAAATTTCTTCACTAAAAAAAGATTATTATTTGCCTACTTGTGTCTTTGGCAAATTTGACACATATTGGCCTCATAATTAGTCAACCAACAATGAAATTGGTAAACGGTTGGACTTCCCAATCACAAATGAATGGTTTAGTTAGTTGGAAGATTGATTTACTTTTGATGTGTAGAAATTGGTGTTAAGGTACCAACCGCACAAGCTGAAAAAAAGGGATCTCTCAAGGAAGGGTAAGAAAGTTCACATTACAACCAAATATTGCTGTCTATTAGTCTTTTTAACAAAAGCTAGACATGTGAACTAGAGTTGTCAAGAGTGCCTTATGCTTTGTCTCTTTGGGTAACCCAAAGCCAGCTAATTAGTAGGTGCCAAACCCACATGAAGAAGCCAACTAACTTAGAGTTTTTGGAAGTTTATTTTTAATAATAATTTGTACAATAATGGATAACCCTTCTCTTCTTACTCATTTCAACATTCAGATTTGAAACTTCCAAACTTAAAATATCTAGTTTTGTAAGTTAATACACCTTGAATGGAGCTGGAGGCCAAGAAGTCATGAGTTGTTTTCACATAATCAGGTCATCAAGAAATTGTGAGGTCCATGGTAGTTTGATGACTCCAGAAGCCACCAGGAGAGAAAAAGTCCAGATTGGTAGCATCCATTTGAGCACAAACTTTAG